TGAGACGCCTGAGCCTCGGAGGGAGGGAGGGAGGGAGGAGGACCCAGACTCCAAAGGCCAGACCACAGAGCCCAGCGCCAAGAAATCACCTCCTTCCCACTCCAGACCATTTCAGGATGGTTTCTCTTCTGTCACCAGATTTTTAGTTCTTTTTTAAGTGTGTCCACCTCCACACACAAGAGAGTGGTGAGGCAAGTGTGGAGGCCACACTGGCCAGACCCGTGTAGCGGGGGCTCTGGTGGCTGCTGGGCCAGGTGCTGCTCCCAGACCCTGTCCTTTGTTTCCCCTTTGACCCCAGCGGTTTGCTCCCACCAGTCATAAACAGTCCCCACCCCGAAGATGACTTTTGTCCTGACGCTAACACAAAGAATCCTTTTAAAAAGCATCATAGCCTATGAAGAGGATTTTAACTGGTTTCCCAGAGGCTGTATCAGAATCACGGAGCATGGTTTTGTTTTCTTTCTCCTAAACTATGGGCATTCACTGCCCGCCCCCCAAACAGGGCAGTCCCTGCTGTGGATAAGCACCCACTCCTTGGTGAGAGGACTGGGGCTTGTGGCAGAACTTCTATGCGATGCCGAGTTCCCAGTGCTGGTCATCCTCCAACCAAGTCCCAGGGCTCCCAGCTCCCGTGGAAACCAGGAGGAGGGGTTGGTCCCCACTCTGCCACCTCAGGGCCAGGTCACCTCCCCACCCCCTACCCCTGCAGTCAGTGCCAGCATTTGGGGTGTTGGGAAGGCCAGGGAGACAACAGGGCAGGGGCAGGTTGAGAATGCAAAGCGCCAAATGTAATTTGTTAGCATTATGAGTAATAATCTTATCCACTCTGAGTGCTAATGCGGGCACAGCACAGGGTCTGGAGATGGAAGGAGGCTGAATATTAAACAGTGACAAGTAAGTGATGCCCTGCTTTATGAGAAAAAGGCTCCTACTTCTTGCTATGCTGAAGAGAAAACAGTGGAAATTAAGGACATGAGTGAGTTGCAGGTAAGTTGCTCTCTGAGAAGTCTGAACACGTGTGCAGCGGTAGACTCACAACAACTTTGTGTCACAGCGGTGACCGTTTTCTTTCCAAAAGGGACTGGGAGCACCAGGACTTTTTATTGGGTGGGCAAGAAAGTCTGTTACATTTTTTCCATAAAGTGAAGGACACATTTTCCATTTTCACCAATAACTTTACTGATTTGGATATTGTGAATGTGTCAGCCATCTCCTACTATTGGCTTCCAGTGGGTAGAGGCCAGGGGTGCTGCTAAACATCTTCCAGTGCATACGACAGCCCCCCAGCAGAGAATTATTTGGCTAAAATGTCAACAGTACCAAGAAACTTGGCAAACCATTTTTGAGCACCTTCTCATACATGACACAAATCTTTCTTTGTGCATTTCAGTTACATTTTTACCTTTCTTGAAATAACAAAGCATAGCATGCTGAACATGTGTATTTTCTTCCATCTTCAATATTAAAATGGCTGAACAAAAATTCACCAATTTTGATGTTTTTTTTAAAAATGCATGCTGATATGACAGCTGTCACAATGCAATCTAACAAAATTGTTTTGAATGAAGTTAAAGACACATGGGCACTCCTAGAGTCACTGTATGGAATAAATTAAATGAACTTTTTGGCCAGCACAGTATTTCCTCGTGTTGTTTCCCTCTGACATGTTATTGCACCGGAGAAACCGTGTGGGTTATCGCAGAGAAAGAGGACAGAGGCGATACCAACACAGAACAACAGGCTGTGATGATGGACAGCAGCAGCAGCGCGCAGGTGCACTCGCAGGGACGTCTCACCCAGCCAGTCGGGCCCCCCAAGGACGTGGTGCTGTCTTTCGTCAAGATGTCACACACTACTTTCAAAGACAACTTGATGAGTTTTCAGATATTAAAATATCTGAAAAACAAATAATTACATCAATGCCTACACAGACATGTTGGGGTTGTTTGATATTCTCGTAGTATTTTAAGTCCTTTACACAAATCAGATTAAGCAACGTGAACACATAACTCCTGAGCCAAAGGCCACTGTCATACCCGGAAAGAGACCAGCATTAGCAAACAAATTAATTCCTGGGTAAACCAGAGAGCAAGCAGTGAAGGCTTTGATCAAAGGCTTATTATTGTCAAACCGTCTCCCAGTTAAATGAAAGACGGGTCTCCTGGAATGAACCCCCGGAAACAAGGCACCCCCTCCCTCACGGCCACACGTCCCACAGAAGGAGACGTGCTGTCGAAGCTGCTGACCTGCCAAGGGAGGAAAAGCACATCATGCGAGCATGGGAAGAACTGACACCCTGTTTTGAAAGAGTTTGTCGTTTTCCCCTTTCACGACTTTGGGTAAATGACTTCAGCACCTTTGAGCAGGGTGCTGCCTTTCCTGCACTGTAAAAACAGCTATTATGTCTACTGACCATGCAGAAGTGCTATGAGGCTTAATTTATTAGTTAATGTTTGCATTGCATTCTGCAGCTCTCAGACAGAAAGTGTTACAGAAACGCAAAGCAGCGATGTATTATCTAAACACCTGCCTCTTCGAATAGCTCTCTAGAAAGTGCGCATGGCTTCAGCACAAATGATTCCTGCAGAAACGGATGATGTTGTCCAGGTCTTTCTTGGCCATAGATCATCTCCCCCGCCCTTCAGTTCACAGACTCTCTGTGCGGCTGTGGTTTGCATCTCGTCCCTGGAACAGTCGCTGTAGACACTGCTCACTTGTGCGTGAGCGCGGGTCACACGGCCCTTCCCCTCACTATGTCTGCTCTCTGCATTCTTCACTCCCTAGAGCTCTTGCGATTTGGCTCTTCTTACAACACATCATTTTCCACCTGGCCATGGTACCTCTCACCCAAGCGCTTGGTGTTTTCAAACTTGGTAGTAAAAACAAAGAAATTACTTAAAAGGTTCCTGAAAGTAAAAGAAGAAAATGTGAAAAAAATATATAGAATGGTCCAAGTTTGAACATGTTCTGATGACATTAAATTAACTGATGACTTGTTAAAGATTATACTGAAGGCTGTTTCTGCTACTCTTCATGATGTCCATACTTTCATTCAAACTCTGGCAAGTACCCCAGGAGCACACGGGTATTTATTCATACAGAAACCCCACAGTTCCAGTAAATATCTACTTGGATTTAAGTAACTTCTTTTCCAAATACAAATAGACAAAGAAAAGGAATAATAAATTATGTTAACATACTGTTTTTCAAAGGTTTCCTCTTCCCAAATTTTTACTTTCAGTTCAGTTTTGAGAGTATTTTTCATTGCTTATTATTCTTCAATGGGAGTACCTTAAAATGTGCCCAGGATTTTTTAATTAGGTAGTAAGATGCATATTTCTGGCATGCCATATGTGACCTTTTGTGTCTGGCTTCTTTTCACTTAGGTTTCCAGATGTTTCCAGGTTCACTTAATGTTGTGATATGTATCAGCCTTTCACTAATTTTAACAGGCAAGTAATATTCCATTGTACAGATGTATTACCTTTTGTTTATCCATTCATCATTTGATGGGTTTTTGGGTTGTTTCTACTTTTCAGTTACTATGAATAATGCTGTTATGAACATTCATGCATAAGTTTTTTTGTGTACACATTATTTTTAATACTTTGGGTATATCCCTAGGCGTAAAAATGCTGTCACATGGTAACTGTACATTGTACCTTTTCAGGAACTGCACAATTGCTTGTCTCAAAGCAGCCACACTATTTTGTGATCCCACCAACAGTGCACGAGCTTCCAATTTTTCAACAAGTTGTCAACACATTTTTTATTTTAGCTGTCACAGTGGCTATAAAGTGCTAACTCATGGTGTGGAGTTCCCTGATGGCTAATGATGTTGAGAATCTCTTTATGTGCTTATTGGTCATCTATTTTCTTTGGAAAAATATCAAATATTTTGATACTCAAATATTTTGATCATTTCTTAAACTGGGGTGTTTTTTATTGATGAGCTAGGAGTTCTTCACATATTCTGGGTACAACTCCCTTATCAGAAACATGATTCACAAGTATCTTCTCCCATTTTGTGGGTTGTCTTTTTACTTCAACTGTGTCCTCTGATACACAAAACATTTTAATTTTAATAAAGTCCAATTTATCAATCTTTTTCTTTTGTTGCTTGTAGTTCTTGGTATTGTATTTAAGAAATCATTGGCTAACCCAAGGCCACAAAGGTTTACTGTTTTCTTCTAAGAATTCTATAGTTTTAGCTCTTTGATACATTGTGAATTAATTTTTGTATACCATGTAAGGTAAGGGTCCAACTTCATCTTTTGCATGTGGATATCTAGTTCCAACTGTGTTTGTTGAACACAATTATTTCCCCATGAATACTGTACCCTTGCTGAAGGGGATGTGTGTTACAGCTGTAACGATGTTTATTCATAATAACACAGCTCACAACTGATGGCATGTTCAATTTGGTAAAAGTACGGTACACTTAACTCCTGAAAGAAAAGCCCATATAAGTGTGCATTTGCTCTTTTTGTGAAGTGAAAAATCTACTTATCTCAACAATACTAAGATTCCTTAAATATCAATGTGATGGAAAAAAATTACCATAAATATATGTATTTTCTTATGAAAGACATCAGTTTAAGACTTGAAGGTTTATACATAGTCCTTGTTGTTAAATGTGAATGAAGACTTTCACAAAAGTAGCAATACGAGTTTAATGATCAGATAGAAAAATCCATGAGTTCTACAAGCCAGGTGAAGGTCATTGGGAAGTTAATTTGACAGTAATGTAATGTCACAAGAAATAGTAATATAAGCACTGATGACATTTTTTCAGTAAGAAAACTAAGGAGATTTTCAGGATCCAGACTTTCATATGTATGCATTGTGTGGAATATAAAACAAGAACAAGCGTAATTGTTTGGGATCAGCTTGGAAGCTGGAGAAATGCAAACACTCAAGTCTACTTTCGTGTTAACTTCCTGCTGGACGTCCCGGGGAACTCACGAGCGCCGCAGAGTCTGAAGACAACCACTCACAAACACACTGAGATCCGTTTAATAGGTTTTGAAGATTTTTTTTCCTGTAAAATGGCTTGTATTTCCACAGGTACAACAGTGAAGAAATAATTTTTCAATTTGACATGAAATATAAAAGAACAGTTTTACAAATATAGCCATAAAATTTAACCGCTCATAACACTATACATGGCAAATATGACCACTCCTGCACTTCTAGCCTATTCAACACACAGAAGGAATCTGTCACCTCAGCTTTAAAAGAAAAAAAAACTTCCCTTTCACTGAGTTTATTTTGTTTAGAAATAGTTAAACAGAACTGGAGAAATATTTGCTTTTCCCTACCTTCCTCTAGGGATTGTTCATGAGGGCTAAAGTTTACTTGAGAGGATATACATTTCATAAAAAAGAAACACTGAAACTTCTTGTTTCACTACTTCAATAATTCTTACATTCTTTTCAGAAGATCCTCAAGTGTTCTCATTAGCCTCTGACCGGGTCATAAAGAAAGGATCCCGTTCCGCTTCCAGCACCGAAGGAGGAACTTCACACCTTCCGCCCAAGCAGGCTGAACGATGGGCGATGGGCGCACCAGACTGACAGGCAAGGGGTGGAGCTGGGCCTGGCCTAAACTCAAGGTTCTGAGGTTTGTCTGTCAGAAACTCCACTGTCACCAGGCAGGACTGCATGAAGATAACTAGGGTTTAGCCAGCTCTCACAACGGTGTGATCACGGCCTTCATGCAAATCCGGAGAACTGAATGGCTCTAGAAAAGGAAGTTAATCAAAATCATAGAAGGGCAGGTAATAATTCTGTAACCTATGTTACCCTTAAATTAAGAAGGGGCAAATGTTTTCCTTAAACTCTTAAAAGTGCCCAAACAACAATACTGAGCTCCCATATAACAGGGGTTTGAGTTTTTCTATGTAAGCAAAATGAAGCATTGAAACTTATGAAAAAAAGTCCTCCTCAACTTTCCTGATCAGTATATGCAATAACTTAAAACAGTTTTTCTACTGATGCCGGAAATAAATTCTACTACAATCATGTGTATGCCGGTTCCTGGCACATTTCTGCATCCAGATTCATTAGTCTCCTTAATGGAGCCCGTCATTTTTCCAATGGCTTTCTCCTTTCCTAAACCCTAACCCTGAAATTCTATAACCAGTTACATCACGTGGCTTCCCTGAGGCACAAAGGTACCAGACTCTATAATTAACTATTGAGGAATGATAAATATGCTCTCTATTTATATTAAAAGATTTTAATTCTTTTGGGCCACAGGGGAGGGGGAAAAACCACCCCGAAAAGCTTAATACTTACTCTGCAGTGTGAACTGTAGCCCTTTTTGCAAAAAGCATAACCAAATAAGGGAAATGTTAAGAGTTGCAGCATGCATGACCTGGCAGCACCAAGTATTAATAAAAAAATTCCAGACTAGAAAAATATTGAGTTGTATCCCATTCATTCTGAATCTTTTTTTTTTTTTGTAGTAAACAACTGAAAAAAAAAATCTATGGGAATACATCTCTGGGACCATACTTCTAGAAACCTATTCACAAAAGGCATTTTGGTCAGGCCGAGCTCAGGATAATCGGTCAGTGATTTCCTATGAACGTACATGGGGGAGGGAGACTCACCCTTTCATGTGACGCAAGACATAACTAAAGTGATCTTTGAGAAGTTACCTTTTCTGAACTCCATTACTCTACTTTGGAGAGCTGGAGTTCTCTATTCTTACAAACTAACTTGCTCCCAACTCAAAAAGAAATCTTAATAGCCAAAATTATAAGGGGATCTGACTAGATGTGGCCGAGACGAGCACAGTTTCCTTGTTGCAGACTTGCCCTCCCCCTGCTTCTTAGGCAGGGTGGGAGGGGACCTCACGTGGAGGTCAGAGGGCAAGACGCAGTGCTGACAGAGGGCAGCTCACTGTTCCCCCTTCCAGGACTTTAGAATTTATTACCCAAATTTCAACTTTTTAGCTATCTGACTTTGCTAAAAGTCAGAAGCTTTTCAGGTTGGAAGATAATTTTATTTTGGGACATATGTTGTATGCAGAACTGCTAGACATATACAATTCTTGAAAAGGAAAATTGTATCAGACCATATTTCTGGAAAAAAATTTTTTGACAGGTAAAATCCAGCCTTGCTGTGTGCAAGGCCATTTACGCTTTTAGGGTGTCCAGAGTCCTCAAACCACCTTGTGCAGCAAGATAAGGGCCTGTGTGCCTCCTCTACCAGTTTGTGGAGCCCAAAGAATCCAGACTGAAAGGACACACTCTGTCAGTGAAAGCTAAACACTGGAGACTCTGTCTGGCTAAATCAAAAGGCATGTGATGTATCACTTAGGCCATCCCATTGCTTCCTCTCTGTCTGCAGGGGAGGACGCTTCACAGAGCAGAGCGAGCTATCAGTCAGAGGGCTGCTGTTGGGTGTTCACATCACTCCAAACCTACCAACACAAAACACCTCCTTCTAAACAATAATTTCCATTAGAAAGAAAAACTATTTTGTAACTGAGAGGCTTAACTTTTTATATATTAAGTCAAATTAAGCAGCAGCAGTCAAGCGTAATATATCTTACCACTTTAAGGAAAAGGACATTTGAAAATGGGTTAGAACAATTGAATATAGGTAAAATATTTGCCAGTAGGCAAAACAGGGAAAAACCAATTCAAGTATGGATATAGTATATTAGAACCATATAAATTAGACAGCTTTACAAAAGTTAAGAGAAGTGTAGCACAAACGTGCAATGCTCAATTAAGGGGATGTCAGTTTAAATAAATCCTCGTTCCAGGTGGCAGGGATCTGTCTCATCTCTGCCAGCTTTGTCCTGAAGGATCTTCCCATTCTGGGAGCAGTGACAGACCGGTACCACACAGAATGAGCATCCAGGAATTATTATTCCAAGTGAAATGAAAAGAGCAGAGAGGGATGGAGGCGCTCATCTGAAATTCTGATTTAATTAATCCTCTGTAAACACTCATTTGCGCTTTTTAAATCAGGAATTTCCAATGATCTCTGCAGATGCACCACTTGGTGCTGCGTGTGTCTAATGATCACATTTAAATGTGGTTTGATTTGCAAACATTCTCAAGACTTGCAGCCCACAGGCCGTGAGGGGAGGTGGCAGATGGCGGGGCGGGAGTGGATAAACACGCCTGTGTCATTGTGATGTGTCGCTCTTGGGCTTGCAGAATGTTGGCTTTCTTAAGGAAAAAAAATTATGAAACCCCAACAAGTGGTTTTAAAAAGTAAAATCTCATTTTTAATCGCTCTTAAATCTTAAACAATTTGGTAAGCAAATCACCTTGCTGTCAGAGTACCTAGACTGTGTTTCCCACTGCAATGATCACTGGCGGTGAAAGAATTTCTAAGAGATGCTACATTTTAATCACCCAAACAGTTCTGGCCATGCACGATGTGAGTGTCAGGGACAAAATGTATTAGACAGAAATAACAAAAACCAGACTAAAAAGTTAGGGAAAATTCTTTGTTTGAAGTGCCAAGGTATTTGGTGAATGTGTATATAAAATAATTAAATTCCACCAAAGTTAATAAAAAACCAAAACCAAAAACAAAAAATAGGACAACATATGAATATTCTCTCCCCCAAACAAAAGAAAAACAAATCAGAAAAGAAGCCCCCGATTTCAAAACCACAGCCCGTGCCTAAGGTCCCCTGCCCACCACAGCATTTCGCAGAGCCACCCCTCTGGTGTCTGGTCAGGTTCTGGCTTGCGCCGGGGGCTCCCGGACGCCACCTGTCCTTCAGGCCATACCTGCACCCTGCAGCAAGGGAGGTGGTGTACTGTGAGCCAACAACTTTTGAATACAGTTCTTCATTTGTAAAATATGATTGAAAGTGTTACCCGAAGCTACAAAGGAAAAAAAAAGTTTATAAACCCAAGATTAAAATAAAAGCATGGTGTTTTAAATTCAATTATTACAAAGATGATGTGGTTTAATCAAGCAGACTTCAATGACGATGCTGCTGTTGTGAGCATGCAACACACCACTGATATCTGTTAATTCCCAGCATGTTTCATTGCTGTGTTCCCTCTTTCCTCCCAGCCTCACCCCCCCACCCCTTAATAAACAGCATTATAAAAAGGTAAAATCGAGAGTTAGTGGCAAAAATCTTCACAGTAACTTGTTAATAAAGTCGTAGATGGCTGTCAAGGGCATCAGTCTACTGGACCCTGGAAAATTAATTTGATGCAGTTCTGCTCCCCAACCAGCTGCGTGGCACAGAAAGGGCAGGCAGCATGAAACGCGTGAGTTCCGTGAGGCAGCGGGATCTGAGACCAGTATTTTGCAGACTTCTCTGAGCACACATGTCCACACGGGGTGAAAGCATGTGTGGGCGGTCCCGCGTCTACATAAAACCCGGCCTCGCAGCCGAGCCACAGAGGCACGTAGGGGCCCACAGTCCTGCACATGGGGCACTCCCTCTCGTTGGCCTCCGTGTCGCTCCGGTGGCCCCAGTTGTGGTACCCGTGCACGTGGCCGCAGCTGAGGTAGGCCCAGGGCTGCTTCTCCTCCACCACCTCCTTCCTGTTGATGCTGGGGAAGGCCAGCGTGTTGAGCCCCACGGGGCACTGAGGCCGCGCCGCGTTGATCTCCTGCCGCAGGGCTTCTATGTGTTTCTGTGTCGGGGCGTGGAAGAGGCCGTCCGCCGTCCTCCAGAGAAGGGTGGCCCCGCACAGGTCGATGAGGGAGCCATCCTGCAAGACGTTGGTCTCAGTTTCCACCTGGAACAAGTGTGGTGGACATGCATTTAGCAGCGAAATTCGGCAAATGGCTCTGACATTCTTTCCTCTCAAAATGTACAGGTCCCCTCTGAAGTAAGCTCAGGGAGGCAGTTTATCGGACCAAAGCCAGATCTGGGGGAGTGACTGCGTCCCCGAGCCTCAGCTTCCTCAACTGAGCACTGGATACAACACACACACACTGCAGGAGCAAAGCCCTAAGCACAATCTACCTGGCTGAGTGTTCAGTTAACATAGCGGTGATTTCAATGAGCACCAATCTCAGATTTTTACTTCCCCTCCTCCAGGCAGCCATACAATTGCTCTCTGCTCTCCTGGAGGGGGAGATGCCCTACCAGTGCACCCAGTGAAGACCGAGCTCACTTCCCACAGTCAACCTGGAAGACCCCACGGGGCCCTGCAGTCACGACTGCAGTGGTCCCCATGGTTCCTGCTGACCCCCTGGCTCCCGACAATGGCATTTCTCCTGCATTTGTAGCGCTTGGAGCAGAACAGCTTGGTGGGAGCCTCCATGTTTGAGAGGACAGCTGGGCTGAGCACCAGGCACTCACAGGCTGAGGAAGAACTGAGGGGAAGCACAGGTAGCACAGCAGGAATCTGAGCGCTGCCTCCGCATGCAGCACATGCGCTAAGCCCTATGGTGTGAGACCAATACCCCCTCCCACTGCCCACCATCCTGAAGAGCCTGTTCCTTAGCAGTGGGAGCCAGACGGCCCGGCTGACGGTCAACAGGTGTGGCAAGTGCTGTCCATGTGCTGCCCATGTGCTGCCCCTTCACCACGGGGGCTGCGAGCGTGGACTCCAGAGCCCACTGCCTGGGTCTGAATTCCTGCTCTGTCACCTCCTGCTCTGAGGCCTGGGGCCATTAGAGTCCTGGCCTATCAATTTCCTCTTCTGTAAAATGTAAAGAGATTAGGGATTGTAAATGTTAAGAAGTTGATACAAATAAAATGCTTGGAACAGTGTCTGGGATGCAAGAAGCGCTGTGTAAATGTTTGCATCTGTGACTTTGATGATGACAAAGTCAGGTATGGTTTTTAAAGGGTTTTCCTTGAACAGACATTTGAAAAAGTTACCATCCTAAGTCAGCAGGTAGGATAGGAGACACAGCAGAAGGAGGCATGAAAAGGCCAAACACCACGTGCACTCAGGGAACAAGGAGCTCAAGAAGTTTCCACAGGTGGTTGAACGTGGCTGGATGGGGTTCAGGGCGTGGGGGCAGGACAAGAGGCCTAAGCTGGAGAGGTTGCTTGGCCTCAGGAGTCAACAAAGGGAGTCAGCAGGGAGTTTTATGAAGCTATAAAAGAACAGATTTGCCTTTCCAAACGTCCCTTCCGGAGGTGTGGAGGGCGGACTGGCTGGATATAGACTGAAGGTGGGAAAAAGGGAATTCTCTCTCCAGGCCAGGAGGGTGGGCATGGCGCAGCAGAGAGAGTATCAGTGGCAAGAGACAAGGGGCACAGGTACCAAATGTGGAGGAATCAGACTCATGGTCCTTAGCTCCTAATTTAGGAAGAAAGACTTACACATCTGGCTTCACTCAGTGTTTACCTAGAACGGGTTTTTCCATGGACAGGGAATCGAGCAGAAATGGCAGATTTGGGGGAAAGGATAGTAAGGTCAGTTTGGGGTGTGTAGGGCCTGTGGGCTGTGCAGTGTCTGTACTGCCATGCACATAGGCATGTGGGACTGCAGCCTCTGAGACAGATGTGGCGCAGAGAAGGATTCATCGGCATTGAGCTGAAGTCCTGCAGTGGATGGCATTGCCCATCAGGGTCCCTGGGAGGGCAGGGAGGATGGGGACAGAGCCAGGCCTCCCCCTACTAAGGCTGGGGTGCAGAAAAAGAGCCGTGTAAGGGGAAGAGAGGTATGGGCAGAGCAGAAATTGCCATTCTCTGGCTCAAAGGGCTGTGCTGGCTCTCCACTGCAATCAGGATGGATGAAGCCCAAACTTCTGACCATTCATGATATGGCCACTCAGCTTCTGCAGCTGGAGCTAACTGTGGGACAGGGCTGCCCGTGCTGCGTGCACGGGGTCCGAGCCTGTGCATGCGTGAAGCTGGACTGCCCACAGGAAGGTGCAGGAGTGCCCTCTGAACAGAATTCTCCATCACACCCACCCACGTCCACCCTGCAGCTTGGCAAACTCCCACTGGTCGTTCAGGTCTCCTGGGATGGCACTGATTCAAGAACGTGGAGCCACCACGTGGAAGAACCAGGACTGGAAACTGTGGCCTGACTTCAAAACCATTAATATATCGTGGCTGCCCAGAGAGCAGCCTGTTTTCCTTCTTATTTGTTATTTCTTATGTGCTTCCACTGTCTCTCAACACAATGTGTAGCTTTTCTCCAGAATACAGTGTGTGGGGGGCAGGACGATGAAGACACCACTGTGCAGAGGCAAGGGTTCGGATTTTCTTTGTCAAATTCTACAAAAACAAAACAAAACAAAGCAAAACAAAACAAAACAAAACAGAGCAAGGAGAAGGCACCAGGAACAGACAGGGCTGTGGGAGTGAGAGGCAGTTCAAACCTAACAACCGCAGCATACCAGATGGCTGAGCTTAGAGGGGGGAATTCAAATCCCCATCTGCCACTTATGAGCCAGTGACAGCCTTTTAAAGCCCGGTTTCCTCACCTGTAAATGGGGACAGTGACAGCACTGACCGCATTGGGTTGCTTTGAGTAACAGAGAGAATTAACACAAAGCACTTGGTACAGCCTACGTGTAGTGACACTAGGGTTATTTTTATAATTTCGCCTAAAATTAGGTAAGTAAATCAACGTAACTGAATTTACCTAATTTTACACAAAGCCAATATAGCTTAATAAAATAACCTCGAATATAATTTGATAAAATACTCGAGTCTGCTAGAGCAATATGGTAAATGTTACCATGTTATCGCTGACCAGGTAAATGAGGAGGGCACAATTCATAGTTCATTCGCCTATTTATTAACTCAGGGTTAAGCTCCTGAAAAAAATACTGCCCCCACATTTAAGTATGTTGATCAAGTACAAAGTACCAAGGGTGCATCATTTGCTGTGATAATGAGAAGCCAAGGTAACCTATTAGAAACGCAAGAGGATGAGGACTCACACTAAACGCCGACTGTGACGTTAACACAAAACACCCTGCCAGCAGGCATCGGCTCTCATTGTGACAAATATTCGGGACTCAGCTGGTCACTTTCATCTCCACAGTTGCATATTAAAGTACAAGTGATGTCTGTAGATAGACATAGTTTACAGCAACTCCTACCAGCAACACGCACAGGACCAAAGAGTCATACATCGGAATGAGAAGTGCAAAGAATCAGTGCAGGGCTTCATCCTGGACAGAGACAAGCTCCCCCAAGTACACAAGAGGGGACTGCAGGGAGGACTCTGTCACCCACAAGCCCAAGGTCAGACTGACAGAAACCTGGAAATCTTTACTGCTGACCAGGCCAATTATATGCTATCATCAAATGGTACAGCATGGCTTTCTGTAGGTCTAAGGGTCACTTACAGGAAAAACTTTAAATTAATTAGTCTATATTTAAAACAATCCATTCAAGCTATTTCTGGAGTTGTTTCCGTAGCACTGTGAACTTCCCTGGCACACTGCAGAAGTGTGAGCCAGGCCCCCCCATGTTTATCAGAGCGGCAAGGCACGCACGCTGGGACGTGTCCCCCTGGACAGACAAGCCCTTCTGGGCTGCTGCGTGTGCTTTACACCTGCCCAGGAGGCAAATGCTCTGGTGGCAACCGTCTCAGGTGAGAGCCAGGTGTGACTCCCCTCAGGATGTTACGGAGTGGCGGCCCGGAGTCTAGACTCAATCGGGGAGCCTGAGTTTCAACCCAGTCTGGTGTCACCTTCTAACTTTGTGACCCTGGGCAATATGTACCCTCTCCAGACCATGCTTTCCTCATCCACATAATGGGGACAATGCCAGTCCCCTGACAAGGCTGCTGCGCAGGTTAAATTCTGAGCTGGCATCTCTGAAACGCCAGTGCGGGGCCTGCGCCCGGCAGCCTTTCCCTGACTTCCTGCTGTTCCCAGTAGAACGACGAACAGCCAGTGTGGCCAGCCCAGGTCAGTGCCGTGTACTAGCATCCGGTGATCGGAGGCAGAGTAACCCGGGAAGATGCTTTCACCTTCTCTTCCCTGTGTAAAATCTCTTTAAAAATGTTTAGGCCAAGTTTACGGAATTTGCTCGGCCTTTCTTAGAAAGCACTTCTCATATTTACTCGGCCATGATGCTGCAAGGCTGGGCTTTAGGGTCAAACAAAGAAGTTGTACCCTAGCTGAATAATGGTATGAAATAGAAATTTAAACAATTCCCTAAAAACGAACAGCCAGCAGAGAACAGCAAGCCAGGACAGTAAAATAGTCCCCTGTCTTCTTTCTCCGCCTTAAAAATATCTGGTTACCATCTTTCTCTCTGAAAAATGCTAGACCAATCCTCTATTTCCCTGTATTTTTTTCTATGGGAGTTCAGAAGAAAACATTTATTCCCTGTTGTTCTAGCTTCTACCTAACAGTTAATTAAAAGTACTGGAGTAGAAACCTTACTGAGGACGCTTGCGCACTGTGCCCCAGAACTACGGCAAGGCCAGATACCCAAAGCTGCTCACTGAAGGTACTGTAATTACACTCCATGGAAGAAAAGGGTAAAAAACTAACTGCGTTAGGGCATTTGGGGTAAGTAGTAATCGTTCTAGGAAAATATTAGCATGCCAAGTCAATGTACTATGTGAATTGATTTAAGTAAAAAGCCATAACTACAATTTTGGTGAACTATTTAGGGAATTATATATTAATTTCTTACTATAAATTTTTAAAAAGGTAATAACTAATTATCTTTTAGTTCTGGAAAGTCTAGTAAATTATTCTGTAAATCACAATTTTCACTAGTCAAACTGTTCAGGCTTTTTCCAAATTAGTAAAGTTTTACACTAAAAATAAGTTTATTCTTCTTAAAGTAAATGTAAGTGGACTTTCATGGTGAGTGATATAATAAGAGATTATGCTCTTAAAGTTGTAAGGAACAACAGGTAATTTCCTTCCGCTCTGAGGAAAGCTTAATCGTTAACAAAAGGAGGCTGTTCCCCTCCCACTTGCAGGGGCTTGCCGGACACTCCTTCTGCCCGCCGGTGGTGCCCAGCCCCCGTGCCCCTGAGAAGGGTCTGAATTCCAGGGGAGCGGAGGGCAGTCCTCAACTCAGGCTGTTGTCGCTGCACTGGCCGGAGTGAAGTCTACTCACCAGCTTTCCCCTCTGCTGGGCCGACCTGGTTTCTCGCAAGGTGTACACGTCTCCGCAGACAGAGATCTCACGCCAGACCCCGGGCTGGGACTCCTCCGTGAAGCCCCCTCTGGGATGCATCACCAGGACCCCATTTGTAGTGAGCCCGTCCATGTGGCCGTCAGGGTTTTTCCATTTTGCTGCCTTTTCCTGGAGAGCAGGAAAAAAACCATGTTAAGATCATGTTAAGAAATGAAGGGACTCTAGAATCTCTTTAAAATACTGGCTAGGAGCAGAGGGGAGGAAAGTGGTGAATTTTCATTTTCTATTTAAAACTAGTAACCAGAATAATAAAATATGCAATTAGTCCAACAGTAGGAAAGAAATGGTAAAATGGATAAATCATTTATCTCCAGAGACACATTACATTTATTTTGGGAGCTTAAAAAAAATAACCTGATGCCTGGGCCTCCCCCTCAGAGATGCTTTCTCACGTCCCCCACCCCCTGTGATTGCAGAATCTGGTGTGTACTCTTCAGTTTATCTGTGCAGTGCTCTCATCTTACTATTTGAAGATGCTTTACATGAACTCATTATCAGGGAAATGTGCGGAGGAAGGGAAAACATTTCCATGAAACATACAAAATTTCAGCAAGTGTGAAGCCAACAATTTGTGGCCACTGTATTTTCATATGAATTGGTACGAATACCCTCACAGGTGGAAGGCCAGAGCAGCTTGATATAATGCAGGGCAGACACTTGGATGATGGTGCCACAGTGATTTCACTCTTTTCTCTTAGGGACAGAGCCAGGTATCATTCCCATGACTCGGGTAGGTCCTGATTACAACAAGCCAGTTATGATGGCCCCAGCCGCGTGCCAATGACTGGTTTAGGGGTGGGCGTGTGGCTGAGTTCAGGCCAATGGCACCAAGTGAGTCTTCTGGGAGGCTTCCTGGAAAGACCTCTCTGCTTGCAAGAGATCCACAGTGCCTCTGCCGCCTCTGCTTCGGCAAGAAGCTTCCACGCTGTGGGGCATGCGGGGGTGCAGGAGCCACCTCTCACCCAGAGGTCGAGACCTCACCCGAGGAAGCTAATGTGCCAGAGAGGCAGAGGACCAGACAGAACCTGGTTTCCTGGAGGTCACAGAACCACTGAATAACCAACCCTCAAGCTGGCCTTCCCTTTTTTGGCACTTCTAATGTGGGGACTATACCTTTTCATTATGGTTCCAGGGGTGTCCAACCTTTTGCCATCCCTGTGCCACACAGAAAGAAGCAGAGTTGTCTTGGACCACACATTAAATACATAATCACAAAAAGATCTCATAATGTTTTAGGTAAGTTTACGACCTTGTGTTGGGCTGCATTCAGAGCCACCCTGGGCTGCGTGCGGCCTGCGGACGGCAGGTTGGACGACCCTGGAAGGCCATTTTGTGTGTATTTTTTCCCCTACAAAAATATCCTGATTCAAAAAGAAACTATATGAAAACTGGATATTCACTAGAACTTTCGGGGTTTAATTTACATGGAAGCCCTACAACAGCAGAGATTTTTAATGTTTTGTTCTCTGTGATATCACATTTATAACCCAATATGAACATAGCAAACACTCAATTTTTAAATGAATGATTAACATTTTCCTTTAAACCCTAATTATCTAGATTTGACTGCTTATTTTTCCCTATGAAATAAATCCCCTTAAGTCCACCATAAATACATTATGCATGATGTTGAGATATACTTTAAAAAGTAATTACTATACATAGTATAGTTATTATGGCAAATAAAACAAGTAATGATAATTATTTTCAGATTTTTAGTAACAGCTTTTCAAACTGGCCATCTGAAAACTAAAATCTCAAAATCTAACTAGAGGCATCATGTAGAGCGAATGTCTGGATCACAATTAAATGTTGTATGTGATAATAAGAAGCATTTTTCTTGAGACAATGGACACAGTCAGAGTACTTACCCCAAGAAATATGTTTTTGGAAGAGTCGAACCCGGCCGCGAAGATCCGTGCTGTGTAAGGCTCACTCCTGTCGCAGACTATCCTGCAGGCGAACCGGGAGATGGTGCTTTGTGTGATCTGGGCCTCGTCGCTGTTCTGACCACCAGAAACTGTGTCTGTGACAACGAAGTCGATGGGGCTTTCGGTTGATCTGCCCACCTAAGTAAATCGAAATACTCGTAACTCCCTTGAAAAACGTCATCACGCCACCAACTTCGCTCAAGGGGAATGAGTGTTCAAGATCCCTTTAACATTCATTATCTCTGCCTCGAGGGTCAGAATTTAATGAAAACTTCAGTTCCCCTTTTCTTTTTTAAACTAAGGGAGATGATGTGGTATAACCAACCATCCAATCTTAAATATTAGAAGAAAAGCTCAACTTTCTATTCTGGAAGAAGAAGAGATCTTACTCCAAACAGAATGTACCTCTTGCATCAGGCAGGAGCATTACTTTCATGGTGAATCATTCTGTGTGTGTGTGCGCACGCGTGTGCACGAGCATGCACGCGTGTTTGCAGGTGGAAAAAAGCAAGATTTTAAAGGAAGCCAACAAACAAAGGAACTCTTGCCCCCACCCCTGTCCACTCCAGGACCTGGCTTTGCCCTCTGTGCCAACACCGCACCCCCCACCCCCCCCCCCGGGACTCACAGCACACAGCCGGAGCGGCCATAACCCAGACGCAGAGATCAAACACCTGTCACCACTCCTCCGTGCAGCCAGGACGGAGAGACAGGGCTACACAGGTCGGCCCAAAGTCTGGGTGCGGTCCAGTGAAAAATAAAAGCTGCTCTTAACAGTTCAACTTTGGAGTTTTAAAAACTCTCTTGGGAAAGTCTAAGAAGTTGCCAATAATATTATATTGACTTACTTTCCTTGATAAGTTAAAATGCTGCCAGAGAGAAATGTATTTCCTTGGCCAGATCTTACAGTTCTAACAAAGCTTTTCATAAGCAATAAATCCAAATAAGATGAGGACTGCTCTGTCTTCTGAACTGGGAGAAGTTAAGAATTTGTTTATAAATAAGGAAAACTCAAGACAAAATAGTAAAATGTTTATGTAATCATGCTCTATGAATCTCTAACTAGAAAATGATGATAAGTGTTATATATGCCAAAGAGACTTGACTTAAAATCAGTTATGTGTATGTAAATGCGTCCTTTCTCCCCACACAGACTGATGTTCTAACAGCAGTGACTTTGATTCTGAGCGGCCAATGGGAGGAACACCAGTGTGTACATGTAACATCCCCAAAAGTCAATTTTCCAGGTATCTTTATCCTGATCTCAAAATTCTATCTAAAATATAAGCAACATTAATATACTTTTAATCCAAATGCATGAAAGGGAAAACTATTAATATATCATGCATAATTTAGCTCTGCTTGCTTCCTGGAACAACATTAAATTTATTTTGTAAATCTCACATATACATTCTCATGCACAGACTATTTCAAACCAACCAACAACAGACAACTATTTTCTCTTATTTTTTTTTTACCAACCTTAATTTCTTGTCCTAATGAAATGTGCCTAGAATAAACTAAACCACTGGGTTCACTGAAACTCATCAACTTAAGTAGATACATACTGCCTGAATGTATGCATGTCAGGTTTAGAAAACTGTAACTTGTTAAAAAATGCAACATAAAATGTAAATTAGAGATATTACAAAATCAAATCACCATACAATTCATCTTTCTATGGTTGCAGAATCTTCTCTCTGCCACATTCATTTAAAAGCTGGGTATGTAACTCAGAAGCTCCAATTCAGACCGCTCTAATTATTTTTTTAAAGTCTTTTTTAAAAAGCTATTCTCTTAGCTACTTTCAAGTATGTAATCAGCATTACTAACTATAATCACCATGCCGCACATTAAATCCCCAGAACTTACTCATCTTACATCTGGAAGTTTGTGCTGTTCGACCAGAACTCCCTCACTCCCTAGACTACACCCCTCCAGCCCCGGCTAACCACCATTCTAGTCTCTGTTTCCATGACTTCAATTTTTAATAGATTCCACATATAAGTGATAAGTCTTTCTCTGACTTATTTTACTTAAAAAGCTTTTATGCAATTGAAGAAGTAACAAATACTTATTTAAAATATTTCACAAAATAGACAAGTATAAAGGAGAAAATAAAGACTACTCCAAACTCAGAAACAAACCCATCCTGAGCCTCTATTCCAATGAAGCTTAGGAGTAAAATGTGACCTTCTAAAACTGCCTGGTCACCTCACAAAACCCAGAGTTCTCACAACACAGTCTCTGACCCAAGCTCCGACTCCTCCATGGAAGAGGGTAATGCCTTCTGAAGCTCTGTTATAAGCTCAAAGCTCAAACCGCGCTCTTGTAGAATGCCACACAACTGCTCCTTGTCTACAGAGATTATGCTCTTCAAGAAAGGCCAGCCTGATTTCATCCCAGTGTATCAAATTCATGTCTGGATCAATTAACTGAAATTGATGTAAAACATGACATTTTGTTCCAACTGGAACACATACTGCTAGGATCAATTATTTCAAGTCATGATACTTATCTGACTGGTCATACGGGATTTGTCAATGCACTTCCACTTGAACCTGCAGAGTGCAAGTACAATTTCATACTGCAGGTCACAAACTTCATGGTGCTTTTGCCAGGAAAAAAACTGAGCCACTTTCCTACTGAAAACTCACCGCCCACTGTGGAAAACTCAGATCCTGCCCTTTCTTTTGTTTACTGGACCAACTCTACATTATTTTAAGGACAGTCATGTGGATAGGCCAAGACGTTTCTGAATTCCATCTGATAATCATATATATCATGCTGACATGCATACCACAGCCACAAGTGAGAATTTTGATCCCTACTATGGGTAGTCATGAACACAGCATCATTTAGCACTTCCCATTTTAGTATATGTGAGAAAAGTTTAGGTCTGCCTGGCTGTCTGCTGAAGTCAGCACAGGTAAGAGTGTACGGGAGCACCTGAAAGGGCCTCCCTCATGTTGTCCAGCCCAATCCTTCCCATGTCCCTGCACCTGTAACACTGTCCGGCTTTCCTTATGACAAGGATGACATATTGCTGCTGCTATTCAGGACCAATCTCTCCACTGATGCCTGAGATCCCAATATTCTCCACTCCCTGAGGATTTTGCTGATATTGGCTCCTGTGCTGCCCCCTCCCCTGAATCAACCATCTCTCTTGAGACTGGATCATGCCATCAGCTGTCACACATTCTGGAGCTTCTCAAACTGGGCCTCTATGGAGTCAAGAACTAGTTTTGTTTTGTTTTGTTTAAATTTCAACCTACCAGTGATACTTTATAAAAAATGCAACAAAAATGAGTATTAGGAAAATGGTTACCTGTTTCAATGTGTCGGTAATACCGAAGTGCTATAACAATTTACAATTTCCTACTCATCTCACTCTGTATTGTTAACAGACATTTTGATGCTCGGCAGAGTACTGTTTAAGTAGTACTGTTCTAGACCAGTCTCTCATCTTTAAAAAACTCTTCCCTTTGCCTGCAAGCCACCCTCAAGCTACTGCCTCATTTCTCTGACTCACTTAACAGTGATACTTCTTGAAAAACCTGTCACTGGTTACTACCTCCACTTCCTTCCTCTTCCCCTCATCGTCTCTCCTCAACGCACTCCAGCTGCGCTCTGTCACCATGCTGTGCTGAAGCCACTCTTGCGGAGGTCTCCAGGCCTTATAGTCAGCCAGCATATCCTGGCCCATTTGAACCGGGTATTCAAATAATGAAACCCTTCCAGGCTAGGTGGTAAATAGCTCCCGTCTCTTCTCTTTCTGGTCTCTCCCTAGGTAATCTCATTAAATCAAATTTATTAGCCACAAAGCTCTGATCTCTCCCTGAAACTTCAGACTAGCATACCCAATCTCCATTTGGATGCCTCAGAGGCACCCTGACATGCTCCAAATAGAACCCTGATCCCCTTTGAACCGTAGATTCCCGATGTCAGGGGCTGACATCCAATTTCCTCAAGCTGAAAATCAATACCCAAGAATTATTCCTGATTCTTTCATCCACACCCACGTTTAGCCTTGTGGCCACCCTGTCAACTCTACCTTGAAAACACATCTTTCCCCACCTTAGTTCAGTTACCACCAGCTCTTACTTGGACCGCATGCCTTAGCTTCCAAGCTGGTCTTCTAGTTTCCCACTGGCCTCCAACCTTCTTCTCTACAGACAGTAGTTGGAGACATCTTTTAGAAACATAAATCAGGTTATACCTCTTTTTGCTTAAAATCCTCCAACAGCTTCTTCCAAACTCCTAGAACAAAACCCAAATTCTTTCCTTGGCCTAAAGGGCCTACCTCTCCCGGCCTGTCTGCCTTTTTAAGGTCATCTCATTTCACTTCCCTTCACCTTCACTCTGCTCCCGCCTCGCGGCCTCGGCACTCCGCCTGGAACGCCTGCTTGTTGTGGTCTCTCTGCCTCCTCTACAATGCAGGCGCCGTGGGAGGGAAGCCTTAGCTGTCTGTGGACAGGAACTAGGAGCAGGCACTCCAGAAATGAAACTGATGAATGGAAGGTCATGAGAGTGAACTTGACAGCTGTGAGAGATACACACACACGTTTTAAGGGATTACTATTGAAAAAATGTTGGTATTCTTAAACATTTTTCTCAACTATATAGATAGCTAGTGTTACCATCTAAAACTACTATAAGCCAACTAAACTGAACACCAACCAAACAAAACCTAAAAACTTAAGGTGCTGCAGCACCCAGGTCGGCATCTATGAAACTAAGAAATCCGAGAGGGACCGGCCACTTCCCTTCCCCTCGAGGCCAGAGTGTACTGGGCATTACCCGACAGGGACTCCCTAAGCCATTTCACCTTTTCCTTTGATGGCGTTCATAAACTATCTTCTTCTTTAGCTTTTACTTCACTTACTCTTTTCTTTTTCCTCTCTTTATCCCTGTTCAACGCGTACAAAGTTTCAGTTACACAAGATAGGTACCGCTAAGCTCTAGAGATCTGCTGGACAACATCAGGTCTATAGTTAAAAATACTGTATTGTGCACTCAAAAATTTTTCAAGGGGGTAGACATATTAAATGTTCTTACCATAATAAAAAATAGTAACAGAAGCTGAAAAAATTTCAGCTAAGTCTTTAATTCTTTCTGCATTTGCAGAGATGAAAAGGAAGAAAGTAAAGAATTAAGAAGAATGTGGTTGTACAATAATGAAAAATAGACACATTATGTCACGACATGTCACTTAAGGAATAGTGATGTAATGGCATGCGCCATCACAGTGACTTGATGCTTTCAATTGGTAAAACATGCACCACCAACAAATGTAAACCTTTTCAAAGAAGTATTTTAAAGTATACAGAGGTGGGTAAAAGGTTTGCAGTTGTGAGTACGCAAAATAGTTTATCCTTGTATTATCTCTTATTATTATTTTACAGGTGTAAACCTACTTTTGCCTACCTGTTTTTTAAATCTATACATTTAACACATTGAATTAAAAATGCATTTACTATATTTTAAAGCTTTTCTTAATTCACTTTTTTAGTATTGAGAATCTTCTTTGTAAAACAGTTAAAAAAATCTTACAAAGGGAAGCTACATAGTTTTGCAAAGCATTAAAAAAAAGAATTATTATGAAGTTCCACAGAAATACCAACAGGGAAGTATACAAATACTTATTTAGGAAGAGATTTTATTCTGTAGAACGAGAAGAAAAACTATTTGAAATATAAAATGAAATAGGATGAAAAATAAAACCACTTAATATTTTGTCTAAATATGACACATCTTGCTTTTGCGTTCAAACTGGCACCTACATAACCATGTCTATACCCATGACCATGATGACGGCTCTAACTAGCTATAAGGAGTTTAGTTTTTTAAATAGCTAACATATTCACGAAGCTCAAAAAATCAAAAAGTATGGAATACTTCCTGCCCCCAAAAGTATATAACACCCCCTGCCTAGTCCTCTTCCCCACAAAGGAAAATGCTTTACTTAATGCATATAAGCATTAAACATTTAATTATACTAATTTAATATTTAATGATTAATATACTATTTAAATTTAATATTTAATAACATTATTTACTTTATTAACATTCAACATTAAGTAATCTTAATTGAATATGATACTATCAATGGCTCAACATATTTAATTGTATTAATATTTAATTCATTAAATATGTTTGGAACTCTTTCTGTGTCTGCACACAAAGCTTTTCCTCATTGTTTTATAACCTTGAAAGCCCCATCTGTATTGCTGTCCCCAAATTCATGAAACTGGTCCCCTACTGAAGCACTTTTGGTTGTTTGTAAACTGTTACTATTCAACTACGTTTCAAGCAATGGCTTGATAAAAGTATCATCTTGCATGTATGTAGGGGTATCTCTGAGGCGAAGCTCTAGGAAGAGAAGAACTTTAGGAGGAGAAGAGCTGAGTTGAAGAGCGAATTTTGTACTTCTCATAGGCGTTTCCATTCGCCACCCCACAGAGGCCGTACCACTCTACAGTCTGTAGGGGAGTGTCTCCCACATCGCGGACAAAAACTTTTGGATTCCTGTCAGTCTGGTAAGGAAAGAAAATGGTATCTGTGTGATTTGAATTCACATTTCTGTTTTCATAAGCAAGGCTGAGCGTATTTTCTTCTTTGTAAACGCTATTTACATCCCTTTTTGATGTTAGCTTCTATGGTACTTTTTTGACATTTGTTTCAACATTTAATTAATAATTTAACTCTCCATACAAAAATGCAAAGCCTCATGGTTTCCAATTTGTGTTTGGTTGTTTATTTTATTAGCCTTAATTTATATTTCCTGTTGTTTTAAAGTACCAAATCTTGGATAAAGCAATTCTCTTTTTAAATTAATGATGACTTTTTTCCATTATTACTTCCTCCCTCCTGCTTTCTTTTGATGTATTCCTGGAGTTTCTATTACTTATTGCTAAAACTATTCCTGAACCTGTCCTCTGCTTTTTCATTTTTTAAATAGGACTTCAAAATTTTTTTTGAGATAAATGTTTAGTTCCTTAGCCCTCCCTCCCCCTCTCTTTCCCTCCCTTCTTCTAAATAACAGCACTTAAGTTTTTACATGTCTTCTGAGTATGCTGTCAGTCACATTTCATGGTTTTGGCTATATAATGTTCCCAGTTATTTTTAAAAAGGCCTATAATTGTATTTTGATGTCATCTGTGATTCAAGTGTTATTTAGGAAGTATTTTAAACATGCTGGCTTTTAAAAGTAGCTGGCTATAAAGATATTTATTCTTGTTATTCAAGTCTATTTTTATTGCATTGCGATCTGAGAATGTAATCTTTATGATTTTTTTTGCAGTTTTAGAATTAAGTTCTCTTAGTCTTTCAGAAACCAAGTAGAAATAAATTTTGTATTATCCTTGCCTCTTTCCTCTTGGGCATCCCCAGAAGCTAGTGTGCTAGAAGTTCTGATTACATATCAAAACACAGAACTGAAGGAATAATGTCCCGAAATTTCCATTAAAAAAAGAAACACGTTACCTGAAACATATCCGTATCTTTATCATGCGTGTACTCGACCACCACAGTCTGGTTCCTCGACAGAGTGTATGATATACTGTGTTGACCTTTGCAGCTGATAGCCTAATAATGAAATAAAAATACATAAAAATTCATTAATTTTTTGTTTCAACAACTTAACCACAGTTCTGTTTATAGTTAAGAGACATTATTCTACCAGCAAAGCCCAACACAAGCCAGCATTTTCCTAACACTCAGAGCCACCCCTGTGCTGCGCCCTGAGTTACAGAGCAGCCCGTGGCCGAGAGTCTGCTTTTACCAGGTGTCCTACCTTAATCTAAACAACATTTTACTCATTTCTATTCAAAGCTAATTTACCAGTTTGCAAGACTTGATTTAATCATATTCCCGGGGGCGGGAGCGGGGAAAGCACTTCCTCAACGTTATCTTAACTGATAGAATTTTTAGACTAACATGATTTATTTAAAATTTTAGGACTTATTTCACACTACAACAGGTAAGTCAGTAACATTTTGTTATGGTATTTTCCCTGTGTAATAGAGATTATAATCATAGTAAAAGAATCACTGAAAAAACTACAAATGTTCTGTAAGAATTTCTATATAATGTACTTTTCTAGCTATAATCATACTTATGGGGGATACCTCAAAAAATGGTACTTATAAAAGATTGTGTATTTAATTGCAATACATCCATCAAGATGTTTTTTCCACTGCTCAAAATGTTTTTGAACTGGTGCATTTTGATGCTTTTTAGTACTTCTGCTGTTGTTTCACTTCTTCCACATCAGCAAAATGTTTCCCTTTAAGGACTTTTTCCATCTGGGAAACAAACAAAAAAAAGTTGCTAGGGGTGAGAGAGGGTAAAGCATGGGGGTCATGCCGTTTTTGGTCAAAAACTGCTGAACATTTAGTGTGGCATGGGCAGGTATTCTTGTAAATCACCCATCATGAGATGGGCAAACATGTTGAAAGAGTCTTCAAAAAAATTCACTGAAGCCTAACGCAGCCTCTCACAACAATGCCCGCTGGCACACTGGTACAGATGGGTTCCTAGAACACCCACCGAGAGAGGGAAGCCTGTATTACTAGGGGCCTACCCTTCAGAAGATAATTCTGGGGTTTTTTGTGTCCCTCATCGTATAGTCTGTTCTATGTCTTATTTAAATATTCTACAAGCAGTTGCTTAACCCAGATATTTACTGAATTGATAAATAAGGTAGCTAAGTTAGTTTTAACCTTTTAATTTTTAGACTAAAATTAAGTCTTTTTCAAAAAAAATCTAGAAACCAACAATACAATATTACTTTTATTTTCTCCATAATGAAATCTTTGAACACACGTCTTAAGTTGTGGTCACATACTTTTAAATTTCCAAGTTAACAATGAAGTTTACTTAAATTTACTCCAAATTATTTCAATTACACTTAATCCATTCTACTTTGACATATCTTCATTCCTACTCTTTCACATTAAGTATAATAAAACTTTAATAAGTCTACCTATTAAGCACTTACTGAAGATTACACTGTATAAAGAGCAAGAACACACTTGGAAGCGGACAGACACACACAGCATGTTAATGAAAACGTCTGAACACATATGTCTGGCTCACACAACTGCTCAGAGTCATGAACAGTGCGACAGCCCAGATCAGGTGTGAAGTGAGCGCGGCCTATCTCGTGGTTATTCAGCCACGCCCCGAGAAACTGAACGGTGGAACTGATGTTTTGTTGTGCGTGCTTCATTAGGGTACCACAAGTGTTAGAAATAATATTTTATATATTTAATGTGGTCAGGAATCTAAAAAAACACTTCTTATACTATTCAACTTTAGCAACAAACATAATCGTTGATTTTTATTGGCATGAGCGAGATTAAATTCAATGGCAGTAATAAAATGACATTTTTGAAAACCAAATTAATATACAACTATTTCCAATTTAAGATGAGATGTTTATCTTTACAGTTAAGTGAAAAAAACCCATGACCTTAAAAAGATAAACTTATTATCTTTTTATTAACTTAAAGTTATTATAAACTGTATATGCTCCACAGCATGCTGGTGGTTTTAACATTTAAACAGGTCTTCCAAATGTGCTGGGCACCAATGTCTGAAGGCATGCTCTGCTCACCCCATGACCTCGCACAGCCCTGGGCACGCTCCCGCCACACTGCGCCGCTCCGGCAGGCACCAGAAATAGCCCTTTCACAGGCCTTAAGTCGTTACTGGACCCAATTCTTCTAAGGTGTTCTATTCTACAGTTATTCTTCTGACTCAAACTATTAGAAGCCTATGAAACATTAAAAAGTCTATTTATAGAGAAAGGGGCACCGCACCTGGGAACTGCCCATGGCAAAGAGAAGAAGCATGAAGACCGAGGTGGACCCCTGCCTAGCCGGCCCCAAACAAGGAAGAAAGTGCAGGGACTCTGGGGCTTAGAACACCTGACCCAGGACACAATGAACATTAAGCCCATTAAGGAATATTTGCACTTTCAAACTTCTTTATTTTTTTTTTTAATGTGGCTAAACCTGAATCACCAGGGTTAGGAAGGGTGGATGCTTTTGGATTAGAAATAACCCTCTTTCTGAGAAAGAAAGTCCCAGCCAAGGGCTACATTCCAGAAGCCTCTAGATGTGGGAAGACTGGGAAGTGGGGAAAGCGGTTCTGCAGGGAGAAACAAGTCCCAGGAGGGGCGAGAGGCTGGGCCGACAGGCAGTGCACGCCCTGTATGCAGCAGGGAGTTACTGCTGAGCCGGGAGAGGAGGGCTACCCGTGTGGTGTGCCCAACGCCCCCTTACCCCCGGGGCCCAAACAGGCTGCACCCACAGGGAGGAGAAACTTGGTGAGGAGAGGGCCTCAGAAGCCTGGTATTTAAGCCAGGATTGAGAATTGGAGCAAAAGGTGGCAGTCAAAACTGGACACGCGAAGCCACCAGGGGAACCAAATTCCCGCGACATGCATTAGGGTTCACGTCATCTTGTTGCATGTTGAAGTCGAGCGTGGGGCCAGACCTGCATGGCTCAGGGGGGCTAAGAGGAGAGGTGAAGCCTGAGCTCAGTTTTTGCTCTCTTGTGGAAGTATGTAAGGCCTTAAGCTTTTTTACTTTGGTTCCAAGTATCAATTTCTGAACAATACTTTTTAACATTTAAAACAGGACTTTCAGAAATACAGCTTGTAGTCAATTAGAGATTCACTGACTTGAGTCAATCATTCAGGTGTTATGGAAATAAAAATGGCCCCAAGGCACCAAGTTGCTTTGAAATCTATTTCTGAAATATCAGAGAATGGGTAAGGCCTTCTCTTGGCACTCACTATAATTTAGTTCAAACACAATTACTGTAACATAATGTGGTTTTACTATACTAACTCAAATTTGGAAATGAAACACTTTACAGCTATAAGGAAAATCAGCCCAACCAGCTTGCCTGGTAGACAACAGCGATTTTCCATATTCTCTTTTCTACTGTGACGAGAAGGCAGGGTGGAAGGCAGCCCCGGCCAGCCTCTTCTGTTCTCCCACCCCCAGCACAGGGGCACGTGGGCACTCAGCGAGTGTCAGATGAATGCATAAAGTGCTGCAGATGCAAGATGAGATTCAGAGCTTCTTTCCTCGGGTCTTCCCCTCCTCCTCCCACTTTTCACCAGCAAAGGTACCATTAGTGACACTCTCAGCCCTAATTTATTTCATGTGAATTTTATCCGGTTAAAAATATCACAATTGGACAATTACAGATTAGACCATTACAATTACAGATCCACAGAATAAAAAAGGATTCTAACTTTATCCAGCCTAGAAATTGAAGCACTACTCCACAATCACAGACGCCCAAACGAGGCCCTTTCTGAGCCAAGATACTTCCTTTCCCTAGGTAAAGACCTAGGTTTTCTGGGTTTTACCATGCTTGCACCGTGGTCGCAGGTCAGCTCAGCCCAGCCACCCTCTGCCACTGGAACCGGCTGTCCTGGCCCAACTTTAAATGTCAGAGAGCTCTCTGAGCCTCCACACTTTGAAACAAACATGGTGCATGACGTCTACAGAATTGCCCTCCTCCCATCAACCCGCATGTACACACACACTCGCAAAGGCACTTACAAAGGCGCATAATGTGGACTAACACCGGAGAGGCAATCCTGCAAGATGCATTCTGGGAGGGATACACGTCTCCAGGGCAGCCAGAGAGCTTTCCTTCATATTTTAAAAGTACAAGGGAAATAACCAAATCTTTTATTTGTTAAGGAGCAGTGGTGTTGGTTTTCAATCACGAAGTTAAAGGGGGGAAAAAAAACACCGAGAAACTGGTTTCTAGACAATCCCAATTTATCATAGTTATGATTTAGCCCATTTAATTCCAGCTCTATAAGGCTGCCAAGTGAGCCTTTAGCCACTATGAAGGGAGAGAAAACGGAATCCATCACTGCGGCAGACGTATCGGTTACCTGCCTAATGCGTTTCTGCCTGTTAGCAGAGCTGGCTTCCCATGAAAAAGCCTGAACACGCCATGGCCAGCTCTCCCACTCTCCTCTGAAGCCAGCACATGGAAATGTGAGCCAATCCTGACCAGGGTGGAGCTCTTGGGGGTGGGGGACACTAAGAGAAAATTCTTTCCTCTCTCTGTCAATAAAATATTAATGTGGTACCTGCAGCGGAGGTGGTTATCTTGCAACATGAGAGGAAGGTCAAAGACTCTCAGAGAAGTGGGCTGGGCCCTGACATCTCTGAGTTGAACCAAATCTGAAACTACCTGCCCCAGACTTCCATGAGAAAAATGAGGGGGTTAGGTTGCCTTGGGTGGGGTATTGTGTTACCTGCAGTTGAAAGTATCATTACATTGTTTGGCCCGAACGTTTTCCCCTCCTCCTGGGTTTCCTGCTGCAGTGGACAGAACCACCCCATTCCCGGCCACTCCGACTGAGAAGCGCCTCACCGTCTCACAGCCCTGTCCTGCCACTACTGTCCGTGCTCAGGTAGCACTGTCACCACCACACCTGACCTCAGGCAGAGTCTCAGCCAGGCTCTCTAGTTTTAGCTCACGAAGGCAAAAATCAAATACAAAGTGAAGAAATCACATGCAACGCTTCACTTTTTATCCTCAAAT